TTTATATCACTATTTGGTAAGTGCTGCACACACCATAGTTTGGAAGTCCAAAACATCCAACCAGTTTTGTTTCTTTCCAGTGTTTCACCTGTGGTCACTTGATTTGGAATGAATGATGCTATGCAAATACAATGGAGTCATCTGTCAAATAAATGGATCATCGTTGATAATTATCACGCACTGGTATGGAAAGCCTGATGAGAAATATGGGGGTATAGTCGGAGTTAGGTTACTAAATCTGTGCCAGTTGAAATGTGGAATTTTGGACCGTTATGTAAGGCTAAGTCAGGACTGCATATTGTTTACCCATGAAAGAAGGTATCTGTTCCGGAATAGGAAGGTTGTATGTGCGTACACAAGTCGTTGGCCACCAAAACCGTTCTTGCTTGACGCTGCAATTTACACTTAAGTTCAACAAAAACAAAGACTGTTCAGGTAGTGTTTGACCCCTTCAGGTGGTTTATGCACACAAAAGAGTAAAATCGATGAAAATCACAATCATTGTTTAACAGGAATGACCTGAAGCAGGTGTTGATACTACTGACCCTAGATCAATTAGCCAGACTGCACGCACATGTGCACAGATTCATCCAGAAATGTGACCTCATTGTATGTTGTCGCTGAGCTACCTCGCAGACCTGTCAGGTAGATGACAGGAAGCATATGCAAAAATGAAGATTTCACTGAATTCACATTGCTATCAAACTTCAGTAAAAATCTTGGATTCTATCCCATTGGTGACTCCACAAAAAGAATATAAATTAGCCGTTCAGCTGCAAATCCTACTCTGCTTGGTACTGGAAGAACTTCCGCCATTGCATGAATTAAACTAGTGTCAATTTGGAAATTCGATTGTTGTTTTTTGTAACCTACTTTGCTTCGAGATTCTGTTCTCCGATTTCAGGGAAGAAGCGTTCACCTGATTTTTCTGCTACTTGTGTCATCTACCAGTCCTGTTACAAAAAGGTGGTCACGTTTACGTAGGTGAAACAATTCAAAGATTGTCTCAAAGAATGATTAAAAACATACTGAAGTACCTGATAAAAACCACGATAATAAGTCAAACCATACGGTCAGGCGGCAACTTCATCGAAAAATAAGAATGTAATGAGCCCAATAAGTTTTGAAAATAATCTAAGGCAATCGGGTCATTACGTATCTGATTTATTCGGGAGCAAACTTATATACACACAATTTTTAAAGCATAATCCGTACATACGTTAGGCTTAGATTTCCGTTGTTCTTTGTGTGGATCGTCAAGTGTCTTTTTTCTACTTTCACTGTCAAGTGATCTACCATAAATTTAAATGTGTATTTGACGTAGCAGCTGACGAAAGTAAATGGACTGCGGATGTGTCAAAAACTGCATTTTATTACGTTGCTGGTGCGGTCACTCCAAGTATGTCAGTGTTGCAAACCACTACTGTGGTGGCTTTACTTAGGTTAGTGTCCGAGAAAAGGAAGTACATTCCTTTAGACCGTAAATGGAGCATCTGCGCAGGGATACTATCGAAGGCTAGCAGTTGTGATCATGATTTATATGGTACATATGAAAATAAACCTGGAAGTTTGCCCCATATGCGAATCCTCCAATTTTACTCTGGATTACTTGGTACAATTATACTTCCATGTTGACAGAATATGTCGTTGTACACAATCAGGTGAGATCTAAATAAGCAGTTGAACAGTAAGTCTTCGGGATGTATGATACCCAGCCGGAAACTCCAGTGCATTCATTAGCACCCTCAGGTACTAGCTAGTTATTTTCGTCATGTCAATTATAGCTCCACGTAACACGGGATAAACTTCTATCATGTGAGCTCATAGTTGTCTCAGTTGACGCTGACAAATTGAATCAGTTTATGTTCGAGCAGCCACCAAAAATAGTTGTAAAAGGCAAGAGGCGATTCCATCTCGAAGGAAAGGAATAGAATAATTGGTCGCAAAATTAAGGCGTGTGTGAGGGGGTATTGGTTGTATAAACATATCCGCACTTAAGACTTTTGCCTACTGGCACAATGGTGCTTTATTCCTTGTGAGGACCTCAACATGATATTTTAAGGGTACTCAATCATCGGAGTGACTCGGCTGTTGAAAACAAAAATGAACTCTGCCTACAGACTCACGGAAAATCAAATCTTTTAACTATTTAGTGCTGTCAGTTAACATCACCACTTTGAAAACCTCCAGGGCTTAGTTCAAAATAAAGCATGGGATTGATTACCTGATATAAGTTTGCTGAAGATAAATTACGACGTTAAGAAGGATGATAAATTTGAAGGCTTCGCAGTTGACCCCGAATACTAACGCTTGCCGACCAGGTTAATACTCCTCCTCTACAAAAGACCAACTCGTACCAACGATAAAGTACACAATCTATTTAAGTTAATTCACATCTGAAATCATCCCATCCTGTTCCTGTGCATTACCATCAAGGGTAAGCAGGATAGCTCATGCTTTGAAATTATCGCCTGTCCCAATAATGATTTACTATCTTATCAAAAAGCTGAACTTTCGTTGCTTCAGCGGATCACATACCGCCGTATATGTTGAAAAATAGTTGCGAAAGTTTACAGCTAGTTCATATGCAACACTTTTTGCAACAAGCAGGGAGCTTGAAGAAGGAATCCTGAGCGACCGTTTTCGATACACAGGCTTATTCAACTTACAGCCCGTTAAAAACACACAGGAACAAGGATGGAATACCTTGAGGTTGAAAAGTTTTTGAACTAATCCCCAAGGGGGAAATATACTACATTACATACATTACTATACATTGAAATATACTATGCCACCAGCGGCTCATCATTTAAAACGGCTGGTTCTATAAGCGTTGGTTCTTACCTAGTGTTAATGGCTTGGTTTACCTGGTAGCTTAGCATGTAATATCAGCACGCTCCATTCTTTCGAATATGTCACATTTGATATATGTATGGTAGAAGCTGTGTTGAAAAAAAGGAACTTCAAAGGTCCCGGTGCCTGAAGGCTTAGTGTATTTGTAGGTTTTTGGATAAATTAGCTGCCTTGATTATCAGAGGCCTGAATGACTGCGTTCTGTTTCCAACAGTCCAACTTAGGCATGATTTCGTGGCCTTTTGTGCAGTTTACACTTGTGATTTATCAGCAGATCAGGGAAGATCCATATAATGACAAGTTCTTGGTACACCTCGTGTGGAATTGGTATCATAAATATTAACGTTCGTGGGAGGTGTGCCCTGCATAGATACATGTGCCATGTGACAGTGAAGGCTTACTTGATCAAATTTGTATACTGGATATTCACCAAAATTCTTTTTGTTAGAATCTGTCACTTCATTCGACCGTCATAAAGATGATAAAACTGATGAAGTTTATTTCTTTGACCGTCCTAACTTTATGTCGAACGAGAAATTCAGAGGTTCATCCCGAGAAGTCCGGCTGAATAGTCAAGACAGGAGAGCATAAGAATGGTATTAAGGAAAATGCGTTGTTCTCTGCATTCCAGCTAGACGCCCAAGTTGATTCGTTAAAACCAGCAAGTCTAATTATGTATGTGTCCGTAGGCCAGTCGCCCCTATTTACCGAACAACACGGCAGTTGGATGGATGTGTCACGTGTGAGCTACGGACCAAAATAAGGCGTGCCCTGACTGGTCAAAATGCAAACCAATCTGGATCGGGGATCTTCAACTCTACGCTTCTCGCCTCCCCCTCCTCACGGAGTTGTCATAATGTCTCTTTATCTCCATCCAGAGCTGTCTGAAGCAACGTTGCCTTTTGGTGCACCATGGTGGGCGCAGCAAGAAGCCAAAAAACGATACAGAGTTGCACGACGGTTCAACAAGTCATAATAGTATGTTAGACAGTTATTTCGGCCTAATGCACTTTTTAAAGCCCTTCTCAACTGCTTGGGACGCGGTTCAGAGGCAAGGCTTATGGTGGCCCTGATCCATATTATAACGGCGATTTCCGAAAAGCACAACAACGTGAAACGTGTATCAACAGACTTTAGAAATCAAGGGTAGTCCGGTATAACCTAAGTACTGAAATAAGGTGTTTCGGGTTCTTCTAATTTCCAGACGTGATTATGAGCAATGAACATTCAGGTCAATGTAGAATTTCGAAATTCCAAAGTCGCTGCCGTTTAATATTGCTAAGCTTTGAGTTATAAGTAGGTCTGTTTCAAACCTGATGCTATTTAGAAGCAAGCCATTTCATTGACATTGCACGTAAATTATGAGCTAGTACCTTACTGAGTACTGTGAACTTCAGTGACAAGTACTTCCAATAATAAAGTGCCAACCTACTGGGTGTTTTTCTCGGGATCCAACCAGCGACTTCACTGTGACCACGCACCAGTAAGACCACTTTAAATAGGAATCGGGTTTTTCGGCAGAGTTGGATAACACCTGTCATTTATTATTTATCATTTATCATTTATGCATTATTTATTGTTATTAGAATAGCGGCTGTAAGCACCAGAGAAGGTCTTGTTGCCACATATGTATTTGGTTGATTTTTGCATAGAACCGAATCTTATCAAGTGACTTTTACAAGCAACTAAAAATAATCAGAACAGAATTTCACAACGCCTATAGCGTGGCCAAATTTCTTCAGAAAAGTCGATAAAACATTTTGGGCTGAAATGACATTTTTAATTTTGTTTCTACAAGCTGAACGTTTCAAATATACAGCCATCCACGTTGTGTTGAAGCGTCGTCAATTCCAGTGGAGATTTGCCGGCTTTCCGTTCTTATCCCTCACATGCCAAATCAGTAGGCTACATACCACAACATGTCACTTTGGTTTTTGGGAAATGGGCTCACACACATTGGGGTTCTCGAATGTCCACAAGATGTTTTCCGTAGATGCCTATCATTTTAAACGTTTGATGGCAATTCTAATCCAAGTGGCGTCGGTGGTAATGAGAATGTAACCTAAGAGTATGGAATTAGCGTAAAAGAGACCATATCGTCTGCGAAGTATGTGTACATAAAATAGACCAAATAATATTTCACTTACCTGAAGAAGGCTTCATTGAAAACATTTTAGAGCCAGCGTACTTGGCGCTGGCCAACTTCCTGTTTCGGCACATTGTGTCCAGAACAATGATTAACAGGACTGTGGATACAAGGAGAAATCCTCAGTTTGGTCAACGCATCAAAGAATATTTTTAAACATACAATCGAGTAAAACGAAGTAGAGACTATCTGCTGCCTTCTTCAATCAAAACCCGTCTGAAAATTTGCAGTCTGGGTAAAATGAGTTCTTCTAAGGAGCTTGTATGATGAACCTTTTAGTGACAAACAACAATACGCAATGTTGTCACAGAAAAAATGTGCTAAATACAATATCATGTTTTAAGCTTAGTCTCTAAAACTACTTTTGTTTTCTATCCAATATATCCATTGGATGTCCAGATTTACCTAATTAGTCAAAGAAATACTAACCAGCGTATTCATTGTGTTTATTATGTAGCAAATAATACTGTTGTTTTTTTTGCGAACTCAGGTTTTTGAGCACCCTTCTTTACCATCAACTTTCTATAAGTTATATCGAGCTAGCTTAGCATCAACCTCTCCCATAAAGTCTTGCTCGGACACGAGTGATTGATTGAATGATCGCGGTACTTTGTATAATGAATACATTTACTTGCATTTTCACGGAAGGCATCTTTGTATGTCCGTACTAGGTTTTTGATGTGATTTTCATGGTGTTCAACTTTTATACTAAACACAGTTTTTAACCTTTTTACAATTTGTCCTTATTTTTCGTACTTGAACGTTTACTACCTGGTTGTGGATAGTCACTAAAATAATAGCATTTGGGCATTCTATCACATCTTCCATTCTGGTTGTACGCTAGAGAAATGGTGATTTTGTGACACTAGTATTTTTTAGACTGCTGAGTTCCAATTACGATGGCTATTGAGTCTGTTTTGAAAACGCGCAGTGCTGGCAGTAATGGAGAAATCAAAAGAAATGACATCCGAGCATTTGGGGCGTTTGAACGGACATCAGTATAAGCTTTCAAGATATTGAACTACTGTCCTAAGTGTCACCATAACTGCTTGTTCAAATGAATACTGCCTACTGTTCACTCAGCCCCTAGCGCCCAGTTCAATGCACAAGGACGATGCTCGTCCTGAAACCAATCAACGAAATTTACAGATGCTTACTGGGATACGAAGTCGTCTTCTTCGGAGATAGTTGCTGTATTGTACTGCTAATTTTATCAGTCGTTTTTCGTCTCACAGTGTGTGCTCAATATGCACATGTTGTTCAACGGCGCGTTGACTAGACCAACCTCTGTGTTTTTTGTATGCTTAAGTTGAAAAAAAAGTTTGGCAGTGATAAAGGAACTAGCCAATTTTGATGTCTTGATCCTACAATTGAGGATAACTCCATTTTTGTTACTGTGAACATGAAAAATTCGAGTGTTCCACTCATGTCAGGTTGAACAGGTAAAAGAACTGTCTTTTTGGGTTATGCATTTAAGCAAATACAACGTATTGTCTTTCGTAAAGCACGGTAGACTGGCCAGTACGCGCGTTTTTCTTGTGTCACGCCCATTAAACTAAGAGGAACGTAGTGGATTTTCTTTTCAGAAGGAGTTGGACACGATCGGCGGAATGTATCTTTGATTCATTGAACAAGATTTGCTTCGATGAAGATCTAGAAAATGAGTCAGAATTCCTCATCAGCCTGTGAGAAAACTAATATCCAGACAGGTTCTCTGGAAGGCACTTGGACGTCCAGGATACCAAATGGTTGAAAGTGCCAGAAAAGCCTGTTCTTTGGGCTTAAACCACGGAGGCAATTTAAATGGATACTTACCAGTAAGGGGACCCGGAAAATCTTTTGAAAGAAATTCCTTTCGGCTTGTCCATATGCGTCCTCAGCAAACCATTTATTAGCCAAGTATGAAGGAAATTACAGACTATCTCATCAGATTATATCGGCGTGCATGTCACCCTGCCATTTGGTCCACCAACAAGACAAACTTTCTGACGATTGATTATACATTTCCCAGCTAGTTTGCGCAATGGAAAACCATGTGCAATTACCAATTTCATTTTAACTCATTCTGTGAACGAAGGGCACCCCGAGAGTTCTTCAGCAACCTTTTTTCGGACAAATTGGCCGAACTCTATCGGAGTTAAAATTTTGGACGCCACAGAAGCCAATACCGTGAGAACGCACTACTCTGAACTCTGTAGTCAGAACCATTTCCCCCGGGTACTAGCTCTCTCGTTTCCAAATAGTACAGTGGTCGGAAAGCAGTCGCATTTTTTATGTTTACTTTTAAACAACCATGAGTCGATCGGTGACCAATGAATCTTACTCCGACCGACTAATATCAGTTTGATTTCATTAACCTCCGGAGGTCACAAAGGAATATAGCAAAGTTAGTCAATTTTCAGTTCACATTTCTTAAATTATGATATGTCCAGTTTGTGTAACGTATATGTATTACGAGGCTCATGTCACTTGGCAATCATGTACTTGGTAATCAAGCTTCACGGAGCTAAGATTAGATCTCTGTGGGGTGATCTGCGATGAGTTTTGTAGTGTGAGCTGCGCTATGTGAAACTTAATTGATACTACAGACCCAATACACGTTATGTTAAAATCCCTTTAAATATTGCTACTGCGACCTTTTGAATCTTATAACTGACGGGAAGTTCCAGGAAATATATCCCCAACAAACCTCCACTCTCCTGTCAAAGGAGACAGCCCTATCAGAACTCAACATGAAGCGATGGGTAACTGAGCTACTTTGGATAAATATGCTGGGTAGGAATAAGTTTGCGTGGAATACTTATGACTGTGATAAATAGAGGGCATAGTAACCGGCAAACTTCAGTTAAGGTGTTCAACGGGCTGACAAAGCCATTTACCAGAGTCAATAGTTTGCGCTTCACAGCCGCTGTTCCCTACAAATTCTGCACGGTATTCTCCATTTGTACCGCACTTCTACCAATCAAGTGGCCGAGGAGAACAGTAGGAAGACTATTGCTTTACGTATTGCATTCGCGTACGCCGATAAGTCCTTAAAGGTAGACACTTTATTGTTTGTCCCGGCTTCTTATCTAAAATAGTGGTTTCTGCCTAGCCACCCGGAGTATACCTTCCGAACGTTGAATAAACAGGCAATTTATGGTTCTGATAAGTTTCCTCCTGGGAGTATTAGAAGAGCTAGGGATCAACGCTTCAGAGCATCCTTCAGACGTTTACTGAAGGAAGCCCTCTATGAAAGTAACTGATTGTGAAAGCATTGTACAATTCAGGGTGAAAGCAATTTTCAGACAAATACTAGACGGTTTCTCGTTTGTTTGTGGCTGGGTTGTTAGAGTGAGTCATCACGCATGCCAGTAAACAGAAAATGCAGCGGATTCAGGCGCAGGCGCTTAAGTACCACAGTACACGGCAAGAAAATTCATGTAACACACTGGATACTGGTAGTCAATGGCGCGTCCGGTTTGTCAAATTTACTGGGTCACTTATTAAGGTTCCACATCAGAAACTTTTGCTGAAGCTTCCTTCATAATAGACTTTTGACCAATTTCATAAATGGTTTCAGGATTTCCTCAAAAGGTGCAAAATGTAAGTCAAGGTCAACAAAGAGCTTGCAGAAGACACACGTATTTTTATTTTGGTAACTGGGGCACCAGTCCTGGGTCCAAAACCCCTCAAGTCAAGACCTGATCCGTTCGTAAATATAATGCGATTGTGAGAAACTGTGGAAATCATAAAGATTGTTTACGTTGCAAGAACAAAGTCACGCTAAGTATAATCCAGCCAAAATTTTACCTGCCTTCGTCACATGGTGCTCCCCAAAAAGTCATCGGAAATGGGAATCCGCCCATAACCCAAATGGGTCAGGTGAAATAGCTCAAATCTGGTTAAGAATTGTGAAGCAGCGAACAGCAGTGAAACCTTTACTGAGCTATACTTTCCTGTCCATCACTAAATCACTGGCTAATGTTCCAGTTTGTGCTTGTCTTTGTGTTTATGCCACGTTTATATGGGCTCAAAATTTGAAAAGTGTTGTTTCACGAAATTCGCTTAAAGCTACCCACATTTGAAGCTCTGTCGCTATTAGGATTCAACTGTGTAGGGGTTGGTATTGGCGGCATTAGATGAAGGAATTGGCAAAAATCATGACTGTCTTATGCCGTGACCCAGCTACCGTGGTGCGCGTTCCAAAATACAAAGTGTATTCAATGATTCCTGTATGGTTTTGGTAGCACCTAGCTTTAACAGAACATGGCTCAGATCCATAACCTGGCAGGAAAGTTTCAGGTCTTGTGGAATTAAAAATCCTGATCTAAACGGCAGATGAGGATAGTGCCCAAAAGTTTCTGTCTGAGAGTGCATAAACCGAACATTGACCCGAAAGACTGTTGTAGGAGACGCTTAACTGACTTTGAATGCTAGTGTTTCTTAAGTTTGAGACACCAAACAGCACAAGCTTTGCGCTATAAGCAGTTTCTGAAGCGCGCTTCACCGGGCCTCTTAACAAATTCTGGGAATAAGCTCCAAATAAAAATTCCAACTCTGAGGCACATACCGGCTGCTCTTACAGTTTGGTGAAATTCCCGAATCGAATAGGGGTTTCACGTAGCGTGATGATGAATCTTTTCAGTCTGCCACTTGAAGTCTAAATTAGCACAAGGTTTTGAGTGTCAGATGTGAGGAAGGCCATTTGTGGATCTTTCTGGCGGCTGTCTCATTTGAGTCGTAGCAATTTGCGGCTCTGTGTACTACATCATGTGTGTAGTACATGATGACAGCGTAATATACGAAATACAAGGTTAAGGGAGACTCAGCAGCACTACCCAAATAAATATTATAATAAATCGAGTACCCTTTATAGTTAACGATATACTTACTAATGAGCTCTAATAAGCGGATGACTAGAAGGGGATGTCTTATAAGATCCGTGTTGACGAGATCGTGTCGAATAAGTTACATGACCTTGTATGGATTAGCTAATTTAGCTGTATGACCTTTACATCACTGAGTACCCCGATACCTGTTGGGAAGTAATCTGAATGAGCTCACTTCCTTTTGGTTCTGTGGACCTGAAGCCTATGTTAAGACGTTTCAGGTCAAGGCCAATAGACCAGAAAAGAATCGTTGTGTGTGGGTGGATTCTATGTCTATTTACCTCTCTATTCCAGCAGCAACAAACTCTTAATCAGAGTTTGGATCCTAGGTTACCCTTAGGTCAACTTCGAAGCTAAGGGCACGGCAGGACAAACGACCAACTTGTTAAGGCCAGTATATCAGAGAAATAGTCGTGACAACGATACTTCATATGACGTGCCTTACGCCTTGTAGGAAAATAAAGCCGAAAAATTGAACTTTCTTGGTAAGCCACACTAGTTCATCCCATTTAGGGGTCACATAATACTAGCGAACAATAAGTCGTTTGCGAAGCCAAACTCAAAACAAGCATTTTCACCCCTGCTACTCAATGTAGAAAGACTTTTTGAGGAGCGAAATGATGGAGATATTACACATAGTTGTTGACATTGTATCCACTGAAAAATTATTGAATATCCCACGATGTATACCGGGGCGCATTTTGCACATATTCGGAGCCATTGGAATGCTGCTGGAACTGTGCACCCGATTACAAGCTTAGGCAAGCCAGCCCAAAAGTACCTTCTGGTCGTGAAAAAACTGGAAAATAAGGTAAATGTAACGTGAAAAATGGTAAAATACAAAGGAAAATTTTAGGACCAAAGTAGTGCATTCACTGGCAGCAAATAGGAACCGTTTGCAAGCACCACCATGATAGGAGAAAGCGACGTTGTAAGAGCAGATACTGGTCAATATTTTCACGTGATATCTTTTGCTAATATGATGAGTGCCAAATACTCATTTCCCACAAGTAGAGAGATCGCTAGAACGAGATTCAACTTTCAGTTGAAATAGCAGATCTCACTATGGCCGCGTAGCTTCCCTACTCTGGAATCATTGAACAATATACATGATCTACAAGTAACACAAATCTCAATTACTTGGGCTGAGTACACATCTAAAGGGCCACTCCGAATTCGACGATCGCATGTTAATGTAGCCTATTCGGCCTTTATACTATCCGGTTGCCGGCTAGGTGCATTTCATATTCTGTGACATAAAACTGGGTTTTAATATTAGCTAGAATCGGTCAAGAGTAAAGTAACATCGATAAACCAACCAAGGGAGCACTCCGTATATTTTGCTTTTACCAATACTAGGTTTTCTGATAAAGCCAACAATAACTATTGTTTCAGCATTCCAACAGGCTATGTACGATTTCAGGCGAAAGCTGAGAAAAACATTCAGTTTCCATTGACAGTTTAGGGATAATAAAATTAGAACATAAGCATTGACTGAACCATCAATAATCGTTTTGGTCGCCAGGCGAAATTTCTTCAATTTACTCTCCAATTTATCCATGTACTCTGTGGCGTTTCCCTGTAAATCACACTGACCTCAGATAATCGGCAGCTCATTAGAAGCCCTTCCGATTTTAACAAAAGTCTAACGAGGGAAAATTTGCCCTTCAAGCTATGAGTCATATTTTACGATGATCTGTCATCCAAACGGAGGCAGTACTGTTTGGAAAAGTTTAATTTGTAATGCGTCAGAATTGGCAGGATGGAACTGAAGTTCACCTCTGGCGCACCAAGTAAAAGTTGTTATATCACGGCGGTTCGGTGTAAAATCCCGGCTATTTGAACTACTGACATTTACCGCCCGTTTTGCTTTGTTTCAGCGTAATAGTGCACACAATAGTTTTTGTTCTCTCCGTTAAGCTTGGCAGTTTTTGAAGGCAAACGCAGCGGTAAAGTTGGTATCACCTAACCCGAGCTACTAGCTTTTCCATCAGTATCAAATCATTATCAGGAACATTTTTTCAGCTTACATTTATTAACCAATTAACCATCAATTCTGAACATCTATGCATTCCACTTGACGGTCTTGGGAATGGAATTGCTATACACCGAGCTGCTATGATCGTGGCCAACCGTTTAGGCGGTCCAAGCGCAAAAGAGAGCTTGACGTTAAAAAACAGGAACCCAGATGGCTGCGAAATGAATGTTTACCTGAGTGGGGTCAGCTTCAAAAATACAAAAAAGTATTCTGCTGATTATTTAACTCAACTCATGCCTTACGTTATGTGGAGTCAGTTTAAACTCCGTGTCAAAGTGCACGATTTCGCCTGCAGCTATGCACTTGCATATGTGGATGTACACAGAACCTATTTGTCGTGCGCATTACTTGGTCATCATTTGAAATCGATTTCTTTTTATGAATTTTGGTCTTCTTTAAATTTGCATATGTGTCGGCTAATGTTGTATACAAAAATCTCCAATGTTTTTCACTGTGTATAAGTTTTGCTTATACTGAGCCCATGTAAATTTCATCTTGTAAGTGAAGTCAGTCTGTGCTGAAAAGCCCAGGAGCACTGCATAGCGGTCTCATCCTCATTTGGAATCACCAGAAAAATCCAGAGGGTTTGAAACTCGTAACCTTCTAGCCACAAGCAACCTATCAACAGTGCGACAAACTCACAGTTTCGGAGAACCTCATCAGTGCTGTGCTTTTGCAGCACGCTTGCTGCATTCAAAAATAAGCACGCTGGGGGACCATAAACACATCATCAAAAACAGAGAAATCAATATTTTCAACGAATATACCGTTTAGCTTTGGGTAAGGCCAACATCACGAGAGTTCGTTTTGTGAAGGCAAGTGTGAAGTGGATTCACAACTTAAGAGGTTTACATTCAACAAGGAACATGTATAAACCTTCGGCTTTTGTAAACTTTCACCCCCATCTTATACTACCTTAACCAAAACAGGTATATGTAAATTTCTTAATAAACATGTGCGCCTAAACTCTTTTGTAAGAAAGCTTCTTCAGAGGCGACTCCTAAGAAGGGCATGAAATCTGGCGTTCTGAAATTTTCAGCTCTCGAAAAGGAAGAGTTTCTGAAGGGAGCATGACCGACATATTCAATAGCGGTCAAACAGAGCAGAATAAGAGTGATATTCTGAGCACGTTTTGAAACACCCACAGATGAGTTTAGGCTACATTGTAATAATCTTGCTCGGGAGTTGAAATGGCCATTTTAACGGAGAAGCAAACCGGTCGTATAGTTAAGCGGACACAAGGCAATGAATAGCCACTGATATTTGTGAGAAGTAGGTCTACAACAGTGCTTGGTGAACAGAACATCTGGTGTTTCGGTGTGACTGCAATTTCGGAAGAATTTTAGTAAAGATACAATAGAAGCTCCCAAAAAAGCTGGTCAAAGAGTAAGATGCTGTTACGTTGAATGAATGATGTGCTCCATGCAGACAAAAGAAGACATCGGACAAAAGGTTAATCCGATTCTGACTAGTGGTACCATCCACGTTTTGACCGCCAGTTTCTACTAGATAGAAGGACTTGTTTATTCCAGCTATTGAATCCCAGTTCATACAACCACGTACCAGGAATAAAAAAGTCAGTTGTAATGGGCCAGGATGTTCAGGAAGTCTGGACCCTGGCTTGGGTATTCAAAGGTTTTGGACACGGTAAACTGAAAAGAATCTAGAAATTGTTCATAAACCAAATCGTCCCAACAACTGTTCTAATAATTATTTTCAGATACTTCGCAAACTGTATATTTGATGCAAGCTGCCATAAATTACTTAAACTTAAACTGACAATAAACATTTTGCGGACGTTATAAACTGCACTTAAGCTGAACATGCGGTCACACTAAATTCCCCTGTAAAGATTTTTTATTGTTGCAAAAAGGTACGGAACATTCCTCCAGTTGCAACTTGGAAATTTATATACTCAGATATGTGAATATAAAAATGGACCGATTAGGTTTGCTCTTTTCAAGCAGTAGTTTAAAGCAAGGTAGGATGATCTCATTGCTCTGCTAAAAGCGCACTCTGCGGCAAACTTTCTTCGCTAGCATTTCTGTTGAGTACGTAAAACAAGGCCTTCGGCAGTTTTACATCTCTCCATCCCGACTGGACTGTGTGCTACCTCTAAATGGAGTTGAATAAGGACAGCATTTGTAACAACACAGGCCCGCTGCACCAACGAGTGAAATGGAATTTAACTGCATTATTTAGAGTCAAGTTCTGGAGGTTGCTAAGTGAACTCATCTACGAATGAAAGTATTTTCGTGTCTGAGTTAATTGGTCTGAGAGATTAGCTCGTTGTCAATAAGTGATTCCGACGGGTTCATTTTGAAGTCTGCTTGTTGAAAAAACGCAAGTTGACTTGACAACCTCTCCACATGAAGCCATGCTCGATTACCTATGGTAGTGTATATACATATACAGATTGACAAACGGCCCTTACGGAAGTTAATATTGAACAATTATTTGGTTATTTACGCTAAAAAATGCACTAGAGAATCTGACAAAATAATTAGCTTGCAGAAGTTTCTTTCAGCCGTGGATACAGTCCTAATACAGGTGAACCGTTAACATTGTCTTTGAACCGCTATACTCCTTAAAGCACGTTGATCTGTCAGTTATGCTCTGTTGGCACATTTCTGCATGGTGGATGGAACCCAAGTTACACCAGTCTTTCAAGGAATCCGTCGGAATCAGTCGGATAGCCTTTGTTTACCGATTTTCCCCGACGGTTTTCGTGAACCAGTTGACAAAATGAAGACTACAGCGTTCGATTAACCAACTAAATATTTAACTTGCAGCTCTCACCTGAGAATTTGTCCATGAAATTTTCGTAAAAGCATAACATCAATAGCCTAACTCACAATTCAAATGATACCACAACATTTTAAATGGATTTTGGAGATATTCTTGCTGATCATCGCATTCATAATTAAACGTACCAGTGCAAAACAATCCAAGAACAGATACTGTTGCTATGAGCGGGATCAGCAGTTCATTCTTTGATTCAGCTTTCATAGTAGGAATCGGAATGTAGAGCACTATTCTTTCACTATCCAGTGCGCCATTGTGGTACTGTTTTTACTGGTAAGGTTTACTTGATGAAGTAGACCACAATTAACCAGGAATAATCAATTAGCACCAAAATGTCAGAGGCTAAATGTAGGTTAATTCTGTTGAAAAGCGTCTGGTTTACACTCTCGTCATGACATTTTTAATGTGGGTTTATGGTACCAGGTCACGACTTTGTTTATTGGTTCATTTAACTGTAACAGTTTTTTCTGCATTTTAAGAAAGAATCAATAAATCCACATTATCTACAGCACTTGGGTTGGTCACAATTCAAGTACAGTTTTGTGCTAAATTGACTTAGTGGCATACAACTTTAGCAAGTTGCAAAATAAGTGTAATTGTTTATCCATATGAATTCAAATGTCCATGGACCAAAAGCCAACTCCTGGAAAATTAAGACAATTCAAAAACCTCTTTGGATTATGGTTGGCACCTTCAACCACATCGCAATAGTCTAACTAAATCTAAGCTCACTGGTAACAGGACAATATTCCACTTATAAATCATACCGCGTTCAGCGCCAAATTTTATTGTTATGTTTTCCCGGAATCACATTATGCTATTTTACAGGCCATTTTATGGACAGAAGAAGATACTAGCATTATGAGTGACGTGAAAACAAATACACTTGCTTGGAGTGGATGTAACCCAAAAATAACCCAGAAATCGGAGAAACCGATGTCAACGCTCACGGTAACAGGGATAATCTAGCTTTTATTCATCCCTTACAAGAGGTTTTTAGTGAGTCCGAAAAATGATTGTAAAAGCGACAATTGAAATATTAGGCGGTAATTAAATTGCTTGAAAATGCTAGTTAGAATGACGTGTACTGCGCGCTGCACGCTGATAAATTTCGGGTACGACCTAAAAATGATATCCCCCAGTTGTGTCTAGTAATTTACGGTTTTGTGTTTTACCGCTGCTTGGCTAACGGTTTCAAGATAACCTCGTAACAGCGACCTGAGGCATTTTTAGGAACTTTAGCTAAACAAATCGGTAGGCACGGTTCCTTTTTTGAGATTATCGTTGAACAATAGTAGAAAATGAGTATATTTCTGGCACCATTCAAAAAGAGTTAGATTTTTTAAATACGATAATTGAACTACTTTGCTTGTTAGGTCGAGGACTTTTCCAACGAAATGAACAGCTAACCACTCAGACTAATTTGCTGAAATTGAATACCTCGTATGCGCATTCTAGCAAGCAACATGGACATCTTTACAGTGATACAGTTTTTTATTTTACAAGGTGTATTTGACTTCCTCTTAACGAAGCTAGTTCAGGTGTGGCGTTAATCTGCAAGCAAACAAACAAACAAGTTAGACAGGCATCAAATTTTAATTAGCAGTCACTCATTTAGATTTATTCAACACAAGCTGTCGCTAACATTGTGATTTTTATTCAACAAATTCACTTGCAAATTATAATCTCCATCCACATTCAGCAATCCTGCCGAAACTGCAGCTGCTCTCTGGTACTACACACCTAAAGCCACTCTTGCAGAGTTTACTGAACATTCCTTTTTGACCAGCTATTGTTAAAAACCAAACCATAAAAAGCGAAACAAAACCACTCTTAAGTGCGAATATTACAGTAGACTCCACATCAATACAAGATGCAAAGATACTTTCCAACTTTGAGCTCGTGAATTTGCTGTTGCATGGTAAAACACTGCACAAACAATTACTTAATGTGTATTAAATAACGCTTAGTTTTGACGAAATTTCGGCTCACTGAGGAGGTAAAAAACGAACAGGTAAGTGGCGGAAGCAACTATCTTATACCAGAAACAACTAAGTACCAGAAAGCACCTAACGCGAAGAGTTTTCTAAAAACTTTAAGATATATCCTGCACTGTTTATTTACTGATTCGTAAACCGAACAGTCTGTGCCATAGGTTGCATATGAACACGTAGCTAAAAAAATTCTAAAAAAGAAGGCACGAAAAAACAAAAATAAGCCAGTATGACCAGAGGGACACCTAACTCAAAATGGTTGACTTACCTATGGAAAACAGGCTAAGAATGACGGAAACAGCTACGAGAGGAGTGACTGCATCCATGTGAGCTAAGGCGTACTGCATTATCCGTCACCCGGAATAAATTTATCAGAGACAGAACATTAATTTGATTTGGCGGGCCTAAGCCCTATAGGTCATGTTGTACTGTCAACCCTGAGGTAACCTTTTACCGACCATTTTGACCCAATTAACTTTGATCGCACTGGAGCTTTGAATAAAGATGGTTAGCCTGTCACTCATCTTAAGCTTAGTTCTCCGACGTCTGGTCCGTACACGATTTGGTTGAAAGTGCAAGGATTGGTTTTCAGAGGAACTGGGTGAGAAATGTTGCTAACAGGAAGAAATGTCAGATTTAGTGATTCAGAAGTGCGTGACGGGTCTCTCCTCATTCGATTCTGTAGAGTACAAGGAAGCGTAGTTTGTGATTCAAAAGCACGCGGCTTTAAAAACTGTGGCGTAATCGGTGGAAACGGGTAGTCATTTGCATTAGGGTCTCATTTAGGAAGAACTACGAACAACATCAATTTGTGAGTAACTTATATAGAGGAATAATACACAAGTCGCGTGAGCTTTCCATAAAAAATGTACACTTGACGAACTAGCCTACATCTGACCATACCGGAACGGTTTCCTTGAAAGAAGAATAATCCGATCTCTATCCTCTCTAATTGCAAGCCAATGACGGTTTGATGACGATTAAAAAAATTGCTCATATTTAAACGGTTGGTCCCTAAATTAATAACTGGTGATTGCGAGTTCAACTCCCTTCAGAAATTCATGAACTGCGCTCTACTCTATTAGTGAATGGGTGGAATAGTTACACGCTACTTCATGGTTTTTTGACATAATTTGAAAGTGGCGGAATTTTCTGGAAAATACTTTTTTATATTGATAAATAAGATTAACTTAAGTTCAGCTGAAATTTATCATTTATGTATTGTCCGAACGAGAAACTATGCTTAGTAACAAGTGCTGTCTTTTACTGAAATTAGAACTCACAACGAAGTGATCACACTTCAGATGTTACGCCTCCCAATAAAACTACACTTGAACCTGTTTTACTGATATTTGGTCTACACAGGTCTACAAAAGACGAGTAGCTGCTGTGGAGGATGTTGCAGCTTGTTGATTTTAGGCACTTCTACTGTACAGGTATAGGTACTTCTATCATTAACCATTCAGTCGTGGAGACAGCAAAACAGACAGATGTTAAAAAGGATATTTCGAAAAGAATTTTCAACGCTGTTACTGCTACAAACCCATCATGGAGTTTGAAACTCACTTAATCAGATAGCATTTGATAGAATCAACCCAAAGCAGTTACTGCCTTGGTTTAGTGACTGTAACTCAGTGCACCGTAGTCCAGCTTCAACCGACTGTGCTGCAAGACAGCCATCTGATGTTTCGGTTAGAACCACATTCAGGGTAACAAGGTGGCTTTCGAGAATAAACAGGAGGTCCCACAACCAATGTCGCCAGTTTTGGAGCACATTACACAGGTCAAATACATGATTTGTTATTACCTGAACATGATTCTAACTGATTATTTAGCGGCCGTTATGCAGTACCATCAGTCGAATAAACTCTGACCCCGCAACTACCTGGTGAGCCCCAACATGGTCAAAAACAGTTCTTGGCTGCCGAATATTTTGTAGCAGCCTTATGAGTAGTGCGTTTTATCTATACAGTGCACTGCGATGCTCGGAATATCATATCACTTGAAACATAGAACGCTCTTTGTGTAGCACATTCCCCAAAGGGTATCAAAAAACAAAATTTTAGGTAACTTTTGACATAATCTTCAGTTAACGCCAACTTTCTTAGCAAATGGGTGTTTGTTGCAACATTTTATTTGTATGTTTATGTTCACTTTTATGTTTCGAAGGCTCAAGCTGCCCGGCAAGTGAAAAGATGTTGCTGCGGAACTGTTCAGAGCTTTTGTCAACCTTGCAATTAGCAAAAAAAGTGGAAGGCAGTAGGTTTTCTTCAGAATCGTAAATGAGCGACAGCTCAGTTGGAGCAGCTAAAGAGACAATTCACTATATGGCCATCATTATTCTCACCATACTTTAACGTTGTGCTTGACGTTATTCAGACTATAAATCATACTGTTTAGCGGACGCTACAGTTTTTCCTTTTCAGAAATACCTAATTTCCGGCACAAGTCTGTCGCATTAACCATTGGGTATCGATTACTGATTTGATGTTAAAACTATAGCCTATATTGTACCCTTAGTAACTTGCTCTACTGCGATTGATTTTGTTCATTGGCTTGTTCAAGCAATTGTAATAGTGTTTTGGCTCCACGTGGTCTTCACGTGATCCACATGAAGTAGAATGAGTTTTATTCTTCATCTAACCCCTTTTAATGCCGTTGTGAATTCACCGGTGAAATTACGTGTTGCTTTGCTCTATTGACAACTTCCAACTGCACTGGCTAAGCACGAGTATTTCGCAGTCCGAACGGGGTCCTGCTAAGTGGGCTAAACAAGCGCATTTCTAAAGCTTGTGAAACCAATTCCAAGACGTCAGTAATGAGACAAAGTGATACGTCGCTATTTCTGACTGAACTAGACAGCTCTATTTCCATGGGTCAGTAACGTCATGCGGCAATAGCATAAAAGCTGATATTTTGTGCAGATGAGTAGGTAAATCCTTATCCATTATCAACAAAGAGACCACGGGGATTACGAAAATTGCTAAACTTCATGAGCCGTTTCATGAGTGTTTAAAAATCCTTCAAAAACCTCTCAATAAAGTATATGATGTGAATGGGTAGTTGAAACAGACTTACTTACAAATCAAGAATACTGAAAGGGCACATCCAAAAGCAGTTAGAGGTACGACTAGTGCTGAGGTATCTGCTGTGTCCTGGACGTTGGCGTTCATTTGAATACGGTCAAAACATTATTCTTGCCCCCAGTAAATGACACTCCTAAGAAATCAAGTAATGCATTCACCGTCAGGCGAAGTTCAGGATGAATCTTCTCGTAAGTTCACTGACAATATGGTTTTTCACCCCGATGAGGTGCCATAGAAGTGTGATAGCAGTCTCAAAGAATGCTCACAAAGGAATCCTGACGGCAGTTACAAGAAACCTTGAGACTTTTCACCAACTGAAGCTTTGTATTAAGGTCACGGGTTTTGTTCTCATCCTCGTCAACGACTTAGCCAATCGCCGAATAGTAAGGTTTGAAACACTGTTTGAAAATGTTTGAACATGGAATTCTCGTCATGCAGGTGTTGATACGCTATTGTGTTGCGTGCGTTGGTTGCAGCACTTAGCTCTATCGATCACACAGTTTAAGTGTAGTTTCTAAAGCACGAACAAAAGCGCTATTATGTTCATAAGCTGGTAGTGCTCTGGATGCCTTTCAGGTGACTTCGTTGTGTGCCGCTATTCGTGTGAGATTTGACACAATTACCATTTTAGTTTCTAACACTCAGCATTCATCTGTTTGCCACAAGCAGTGTGCTGCAAATTGGTTCAGGTAGTCGAAATGAAAGAAAATGAGCTAATTATGGGAGGACCGGGAGCGAGCGGTTCTCTGAGCACTTGTGCTTTATGGTCGGTTGATTCATTTCGGTAGTTAAGTTGGTGTTCCGTTGTGTTAGTACCTTGAAATAGTGTGAATCCGCTCAGCTGTTGGCCTGATGTCACTAGCATGGAAGTGATGAAAAATTTGTGTTTGTTTTTAAATTGAGGGAAAATGACAATTTTGAAACATTATTATGAAAAGCTGGTGTTGATATCTCAAAAGGTCGTATAACTGCATGTAGATTGACTTAAGACATTTGACACTCTGAAGAATCGTTTTACAAATACATTCTCAACATCTTAAAAAGGAAGTGAAACATTCGCATGCGGGTGTTTCAAGATAGCAGCAACAGTCTCATTTCATCTCGAGCCCTCTGTAAAGAGCGTGAGGCTTCTCAGTCTCTAGTATTCCCGACACGCTTCTGTGTTTTGCAATACCATAAGATCAACCCAATCAGTGTTTTGAATTTCGCTGTTCCAAGTAAGGGAATAACATCCGTTAGGGGGCGTTCGATGACAAGTATGACCGGTAGAACTGCGTAGAGTGCCCGTTGTAATTCGGTGAAAATGAAAATGGACGCCTAACCGTGCCGTATATTAGGAACCGTTTGATGAACCGGAGTTAAAGCGAGTTGTTGTTGTTTCTGCTAAGGCGGAATTGTGGTCCAGGTCAAACGTGCAAGTTTTTTCTTCTCAATCCTTTTGGCTTTATATACCGGGTCAACTACTGTCTTTTGCGAGGGCACCCACGAACAGGTTTTATTTGCTTGACTAGACAGAGAGTATAGTTAGGCTGTGTTGCTTCTGACTTGCTTTCCTTCGATTTACGTGGATAATTTGTGCAGCCTTCAGAAGAAATCGACCATCCCGGTGTTACTTTCACGGAGTCTAACTGAAAATCTCCCCAAGGTTGCTTTCACCTTTCATCAGTCGGAAATGTTTCACCAGAAAGGTCGCTAAAAATATAATTTTTCTGGTTCTTTTTCTGTTGTTTTTGGTCTATTTTGCTCAGTCTGCACCATAAATTTGTAGTCAGGGAAAATAGTTCAGAGAGTCTTGGTGTCATGGACAAAAAGCAATTGCTCCACGCAGTTGCTGCCGGAGGTTGTGACAATTATTATAGCCAGTATCGCATACAGTCCATGGCTTGTGTTAACCTAAGTCTTATATGATCTCCTTACACCTCGATATGCCTCCGGTTCCATTTTTGTTTTTTTCTTCATTTTTTACCCATGATTTCCGAATACAACCCACTTCGCTGCTCTGAAAGAGTGCAGTTTTCAGTTTCCTCGACGACTAAAATTATAAGTAGGCTAGTTTTCTGCATTCTAAGCCAAGTTCGCATAATTATAATGAAAATTACTTAACAAAAAAGTGGAAATTTCCGAAAGTTACATAAATCTTAGATAAACAAGCTCGAGTGTAAACAGAAAGGCTGAAGGTCTCGCACCAAGCTTCGCGGAATTAATCTGTTTTATGCCTCTTCGTCGAAAAAGATCCGAATGACATTTTAAAGTCAGTTTCCTAAAGCCATCCTTTACATTTACTGTGTAGGTAACTTTTAGACTGACACATCGCCTATCCCGTTTTGGAAAACGGGTTTATCCAGTTTTAGGGTTGTGGCTACAAGAGTCCACCACCTGGTCTCTTTGTCATATAGGGACGGAGAAACTTCAGCAAATGTCATCCATACGGTAAGTGGGAAGAGCTCTTGACTGCAACACACTAATAAACATATTAACAGACATAACGCACTAATAATAAAATTGCAGCCGCTCGTAGTTTTTATATTGTACATTGGTTAGTCTCGAATAAATCCTCGTCCTGGATAAGGATCAAGTTGCCTGAATGTTTCATTCAGTATTTTCAGCTACGGTCGTGAGACAATTTAAAGTTTTTTTCAAGACGTTACAGCGCGTAATCAGCTCATCTTCAATACCTGCGTCTCACGTTAATGCACACTTTGCTGTTGTATGGATATGATAATGCATTTACTCTACCCACCACAGGCAATTCCGAAAAAAGTTCGTTGTCGCGTTTATCCATTTACCTTCGCTACTCTGCCAACATGATTGATTTCCTGGAAGTAATTAAGAATCATATATCATGCTATCGTGCTATTCTCAGCTTGTTTATTGCTTTTCAATTCTTTTGTCAACCATCGCCTCTCGATATGATAACCGGTTGCATAGTATATTGTCTACGAAAGGTAAGCCTGGGAACTCCGATTCTTTGATAGCTATATCTGAGTTCACCCGAATACAACCCACTTCGCTGCTCTGAAAGAGTGCAGTTTTCAGTTTCCTCGACGACTAAAATTATAAGTAGGCTAGTTTTCTGCATTCTAAGCCAAGTTCGCATAATTATAATGAAAATTACTTAACAAAAAAGTGGAAATTTCCGAAAGTTACATAAATCTTAGATAAACAAGCTCGAGTGTAAACAGAAAGGCTGAAGGTCTCGCACCAAGCTTCGCGGAATTAATCTGTTTTATGCCTCTTCGTCGAAAAAGATCCGAATGACATTTTAAAGTCAGTTTCCTAAAGCCATCCTTTACATTTACTGTGTAGGTAACTTTTAGACTGACACATCGCCTATCCCGTTTTGGAAAACGGGTTTATCCAGTTTTAGGGTTGTGGCTACAAGAGTCCACCACCTGGTCTCTTTGTCATATAGGGACGGAGAAACTTCAGCAAATGTCATCCATACGGTAAGTGGGAAGAGCTCTTGACTGCAACACACTAATAAACATATTAACAGACATAACGCACTAATAATAAAATTGCAGCCGCTCGTAGTTTTTATATTGTACATTGGTTAGTCTCGAATAAATCCTCGTCCTGGATAAGGATCAAGTTGCCTGAATGTTTCATTCAGTATTTTCAGCTACGGTCGTGAGACAATTTAAAGTTTTTTTCAAGACGTTACAGCGCGTAATCAGCTCATCTTCAATACCTGCGTCTCACGTTAATGCACACTTTGCTGTTGTATGGATATGATAATGCATTTACTCTACCCACCACAGGCAATTCCGAAAAAAGTTCGTTGTCGCGTTTATCCATTTACCTTCGCTACTCTGCCAACATGATTGATTTCCTGGAAGTAATTAAGAATCATATATCATGCTATCGTGCTATTCTCAGCTTGTTTATTGCTTTTCAATTCTTTTGTCAACCATCGCCTCTCGATATGATAACCGGTTGCATAGTATATTGTCTACGAAAGGTAAGCCTGGGAACTCCGATTCTTTGATAGCTATATCTGAGTTCACCGTAGCACCAAGGTTTGGAGCTATTTTCAGACGACATCAACACTTAGTCTGCCTGCCCACCAACCATGTTTCTATCACATTTGATCCTCGAGTGCTTACTTTACTGCAGTTTTCTCTCAATTTTCCTCATTTTCTCTTTCCTGGTATTCGTTCAGTGCATTATATCCACTAAACGTGTGGTGCTCAGCTTGATTTGCAACAGTTTGCCTGTTGGTGGGACTACCTGCGAGGTTCCTGAGGTTTAATCTAGAGGTATCAATTAGCAAGGAATGGCTACTAAAACGTATGCTGACTTTACGTCTCCGTAGAACATGTCAGATGGGATCTGCGTGAAAACATCTCTTGGCAAGTGCGCTGGCCTGACCTGGCCAGCTAGCAGTTTCTGATAGCTGATATGGGGTCAGTTGTATGATAAACTGAGTGTCTATAAAAAGGTCACTATTTACCAGCACAAAGAAAGACGCCGAAAACTTTTACGACGCACATAACAATACGACAAGCACAACACCAATTATTTATTTCAGATAAGGTTTTCACTGCTGAATAGCCAGTAAACGATGAAATAAGTCATAAAATTGCTCCACCACGTTGTTATTTGAGGCGTCGATGGGAAATCAACAGTTTACAGCGATCAATTACTATTTGGTCGATGCATACAACTGGATGACGTGGAACAAAAAGTTTATTTTATCCACACAAACTACTTTCCGATATTATCCTGGTTAGATACCGCAATGAAGACTCAGAATAGTTGCATCTAAATTGGGTGCTTTTGGTGGCTTTCTATAGAATCAGTGTCGGTCATTAGTGTAAGAGAGAGTTATTCATGATTTAAGCAGCCGAATACTCACCCAGAAACATTTGAAACAGACTGTTCGATTAGCTATTTATCCACTTTTACGTACAGACCAACGTCCACTAAGTTCAGGGTAATGAATTTGGCTCCAAGTTTCATCATTTTAGTTGTGCAGTCTGGAACTCACGTTCCAAGTTCAGTGCAAAAATATGGTTGCTAGCATGTTTTAGCAGCCTTCCAACGGATGTATTCAAATGCCTCGGTGTTTATTGATTAGAAGTCAAATTTGATCTAATAATAGTTCCTTCTTACGTCATTATTCAGTTGCTGACTGGCGCAGAATCATCCTGATTTACAATGGAGAGTAGCCTGCAGCACGCCTGACACACTGTGGCGTTGTTTCACTTGGCAACGTAGGAGCTTAAAGGAAGCTGCAATATGTCAGCCTCTCTCAGTTTACTTCAATGTAATTGAGAGCGTCAATATGACTCTAACAGTTGGTGTAAAACAAGGGGAGATAGTGCACCAGTGACAAGCACTTTACTGTTGCAGGCACAGACATCTGAGAGTGACTTCCA